GATGGTTTGGATAAAATAAGAAATTAGTCCTGTCTTCCCCCCTGTACCTTCACCAAAACTTCACCAGTATTTTTTAACTGAACTAAAACCAAACTATTTTAAGATATGAATAAATTGGCACAGTGTGAATGGTGTCTGAGGCTAGACATCCAAGTATGACCCCATCTGAGGCAGATACTTGGGCAGCTGGCCCATTCCACCACTCACATTGTCACAGCTACACTATTTTTAGTGTGTTAACTTGATCAGAACTAGTGTGGGTATGCCTCCTCAAGCTGGGAATTACATCTCCAGCTCCAAGTGTAGATGTACATTGAAACATTCTGACTGACCCAATCTAATGGTTTTTGTTCATATTATCTCAACAATTCTCATGGGGCAAGAAAATTGTTTCCCACCCACCTCCAGGCACAACTTTGTTTTCTGACATGCACAGAATACATTCATGGAGTACACTACTCTATAAAGAGGTATTATTCAAAATGTGGATGATGTAATATGATTCGCTTTAGGGATCCCTATTCCCTATGTTGGCTCACGTGAGATCTGTTGAAAATGGACTGCATCTGAAAGATCACATAGACGTTTGATGTTCTTCAGTATGTTCTTCAGCAAGAGGATTGTGAGAACAGTCATTGCTCTTGTGAGTTTACCTTTCCAAAAAAAACACATGAAACAAGCTATGCTTTGTCCAGTGCCGGCTCCAGCTTTTTTTGCCACCCCAAGCAGCAGGAAAAAAAAAAAAAAAAGAACCCGATTGAGCTGCCTCCGAAGTGCCGCCGAGGAACAAGACAGCGAGTGAAGGACCCGCCACCGAATTGCCGCCGATCCGGAGCGTGCCGATTGAGCTGTCGCCGCCACCGCTCCGGACCTGCCGCCCCAACAATGGACGCACTGCCGCCCCTTTCCATTGGCCGCCCCAGGCACCTGCTTCCTTCGCTGGTGCCTGGAGCTGGCCCTGGTTTTGTCAATGTGGAACAAGATGTGTCTTGTCATAGTGTACCCAGACAGCGTGCCCGGTTAGTGAGAAATAAACATTCAGAAGAGAGGAATTGGGTTGGGGGGAGGGTGGAAGGGCAAGAGGATGAGAAGCAAACAGAGAGCGAGGAGGTGAAAATGGAGAAGAAAGTGGAAAGGAGAAGCAGAACAAGCAGACAAAGAAAACAAAGGCAAGGACAGAAATCGAGAGGCAGAAGCTAAAAGACCAAGAAGATAGGGAAATAAATATACAAATGAAAAAAGATTAAAATGTAAAATTAGAAATCAAGTAAACGGATTAAAGAGAGAGGAAACAGAGGGAAAAGGAATGTAATACAACAAAGAGATCAAAAGAAAAAAAGATGCAAATTAATAGATATATAAAAGGGGGAAAGGAACAGGAGAAAAACATGGAGAAGTCAGAGAACTAGAAGCACAAACATGAGAAAGAGAAACATAAGGGCCACTGTATATATTTTATGTAACTTTATTCACAGGAAAGAGACCATTTTAAAATCATTTATCCTCCTGTTGTTTTGTGGCCAGTGTACTCGATGTGGTTTGTGACGTCAAACCAGAATTTTGGGCAGTTGGAGCAAGAGAACAGAGGTATAGGGCAGATAAAACAGATTATATCCAACTAGCATGGCCTCTGCACCAGAATGACATGCAAATTCGTGAAGCGTTCCATTTAAAAAAAAGAAAGAAACAGAAGAAAAATTTAACAAGGAGTCCAGAGAGTATGGAAAAGGTGACAGAGGAAGTCTGGTGGAGCAGAGAATTTAACACAGGTCAGCTCCCCGGCTAGTACCCTACCTGGTGTTTGTGCACCAAAGTAGTGATGGCCTTCTACCTTTCCCTCTGATGTCTCAAATGGAAGGATGGGTGCTCTGGTGTTACTAATGGGTCACCAGGTTGGGCACCACCAATTTAAAATCCCAGAAATGTCTTCGGATGGATGAGTGCATAATAAGCAGTTATCCCTGCTTCTATCGACATTTCTACCAGACTGTCTCAGAGACAGCACACAGAATAGATCATCTCCCTTTGAGTATATTGCTAACTCTCCTGATAATATGGGGTATGTTCAGCCAATCAGAAAACCAGAACCAATATCATGTGACCAATCAGAACCAACTAAAGGCAGCTCAAAATTACAAAAAGGTATGTGAAAAATAATCTCACAGATTTTGCAGTCATCTTAACTGCAAAAACAAGGGGTGATTTTGGCACTGTCTCTTGGAAAATGTGGCAGTTCAGCAGAACAAATGGACAGAGATACACAGTGCCATAAAACTATGTTGGCTTCCCTGGGGCATTACACACACACACACAGCATAAAAAAACACAAACAAAGCATTTGCATCTTTAAAAGCACTATGGGGACTCACTCCTCACCAGTTAAGTCCAAGACAGTGTCCTAAGTAGTGTGCCGTGGAGCTTTAAGAGTCCTGTGATGTGAAATCTCCCAAGAGCCATGAATGTTACTGCACCATGTAGGCAGGAAAGGGTGAGGTAAGGTGGTAAGACTACTTTAACCGTGATTCTATGGGTTTAGGTCATTATATTACATTAGAAAAGTAGCCATAATCTGTGATGTTAGTACAGTATTTTAAAAAACTTTTAAAAGAAAGAAATAGGGGAAAATCATTAGGAATTAGCACAATGAACGATACCGTAATGATTATTCTGGGATTTATTTATTATAGGTGTGGAAGTTGTTATATCCTACTCTGAATCAACACATCTCAAGTCGTATACAATTTCTGTGTATTTATGATACCGTAATAGTTCTCCATGCTGGCATAGGGCCAGGTTATTGAACTCCCTTACATCGGTGAGCAGTTTCTTTCTCTCTCTCTCATACACAACTAAGTTCACTGATTTGAGTGGGGCTATTTGTGTGAGTAACTATTCATCTGGCACTTGGAAAATAAGTGGAGATCTTCTCCTATCTGGGGACAGGGCTGTCTTTTCACAGATGTTGGTCTGGAGTTCAAATTGCAATTCACTTCTTGAAATCATTGGTGGGCATATATATATATATGGTAGATCAGAACTCTCTATTCAGGCGGAACTCCCACTGGGATAGAAATGCACAGAACTGGCCAGATTCTGTCCTCATTTACAACTGTGCAACACCAAGACTGCATACTAAAACTCACTGGCACTTTTGCTGCAAGATTTTTCCTATACACATTAAGCCACAGCTTTTCTAAATTAAACATTTATGTTTATATCTCCCTGAAAAAAAGAGTTAATAACAATGAGCTACTGGTAAAATACATCCTAAACTAAAGAGGTTTCTCTGTAATAAAGGAAGCTGTTGTTATCTAGAGACATAGCAGAGCTGCATTAAATGGCGTCACCCAGATCATAGACAATGAATTACAATTGCTCTGCAGAGATTATGCAATATACTTGTGATGAAATGGATAGCCTAGAATAAAATCAGATAGGAAGTCTTGACAATTTTAATGTGGTGTTCACATGTGAAATATTCCAATAAAAGACACAAGCCGTCTGGCTTTAGGTTTCATTCCAAAATGAAAACTCAGACCAGGTGCCTCAAGGGTCATAGGGACTGAGATAGGACTTGATATGGAAATTATGTGAAATGCTTAGTTTCAGTATGAAACCAGCTGAAACTCTATGACTTTGACTGCAAGGATAAAGCCATTTGAATTAGTTAGTAAATCGTGCTTGGAAACACAATTCTCTCTCTCTCAAATTAATTAAATAACTTTTAGGCAGTTACTTATGATACAAGCAACCCTGTTTCACTTAGCATAAAAGTTTGTATTTTCTTGCACAAAAGAGAAAACAGAGTCACATTGTCTGCTATTTGGAAAAATGCTGCTATGCAGCACCTTTGCCCAGCTTAAAAAAAGGCATTAATATACTTTTGGATTCTATTAACCCCTTAATCAGTCAACATTTTTGGAAAGTTCAGAAGACATGGGGGTGACAAAGCTAGGAAGCGGGCAAAGGGGCATAGCCGGTATGTTGGGGTGTGAGTAGATGGTTGCAGTCAGTCACAGGGGCTGATCAGTAAGGCTGCAAGCAGAACAGGGAAAGCTGGCACAGTGTGCGGAGTGGGAGTACTGTGTAGCTGGAGGACAATGGAAAGAGAGCAGGAGCAGCTGGGCAGCAGCTGTAGGTGTACACTTAGGGAAAAGGCAAATAGGCAGGGAGGACAAAAGGCTTAGCAGGGATATAGTAGGCTAGCTGTGGAGGAAAGCAGGAGAAGCAGGCAGGGGGCTGGGTTATGGTACCTGAGCAGGAGGAATGCCATCTGCAACATGATGCAGTGGCAGCCAGCTGGCAGGGTTTCTGAGGAGAAGCTTATACAGAGTGCTTCTGGCTAGTTAGAGAAGACCTGTGTGCCAGCCAGTGGAGCTGCCAAGGAAGAAGAGGCAGACAGTGTGTGGGTGGAGGAGAAGCTAAAAGCCAGCCAGCCAGGCAGGAGTGGTTGGCTTTGGCAGATCACAAAGTTTCAGTAGTCCAGAAGCACTGAAACCCTTTAAGCTAAGAATGGCTCTGGCATACCACAATAGTGGTGCGTTACACTGGGGGGGAATTATGATGGGGCTCTGCGCCAGCATCTGCCTGTGGATCTGGTTGCAGGGCAATTACCTGAATCCAGAATCCATTAGTATTTATCTCTGCCATTTTACAAAGCCCCAGTTACATGTCCTGGTTATGGAGTCAGTCTAATGTTTTTTATACCACATTCATCACAATTATATAAGAACCGAAATGAGCCCAAAGATTTTCAAGGCCTAATGTAAAACAGGCTCAATTTAGAAATGTGTTTATATGCTATTTTTCTTTCCTACCCATGACTGGAAGGGTTGCACAAGCCAAAACCTATCACAGCATTATAAAAGTTAATGGTATCAGCAATTATTTGAGCCTCTGGTTAACGAAAATCACAGTTGACATTGAATGACAATTTACACTGACTCTAATCTATGCAGTCTTATGGCAGGCCAGTGCAAACAGAAAAAAGATATTTGTACCTGCTTTGTAAATCATTAAGGTGCAATCTCCCTACATAATGGGTGGCTGATGAAACAGTGATGATTCTAGCATTGCGACTGCGAGTTCCTGATTGCTTCAATGTTTCCAAGAGAAGGTTAGTCAACAGGAAATGTCCCAAGTAGTTCAAGCCAAAGTGCTCCTCAAATCCATCCTCTGTTTTCCTTTCAGGGACCAGCATCACCCCCGCTAAGGAAGAAAGTGCAGAAAAAGTGTGATGACTTCAGAGACTGAATGAGAATTCCTGACACAAAAGCAACACAAAACTCCTGCTACACATCTTAAACACAACTTTCAGCATGACAGATGATTGGTGATTGCAATTGTGAACTGTAAAACTGACACTGATTGACTCCCCTGGAGAAAAATGACAAATTCCAGACCTCAGTTTATCGAACTTGAAAATGGATAGAATCATCCCTCCCTTCCTCCGGCACTGTAAGGATGAATTAGTAAATTTTTGTAAGGTGTTTTGAAAATGATGGGCTCAATTTAACCTTTGGGTTTGCACCAGGTCTCAAACCTGTGGGCCCCTGGCAGTGGTAAGTCTATCTGGAGTGGGAACGCAGAAATGCAAAATGCTCCCTACCATCCTACCAGTGGGCAGGGCCAGGCTAATCAGTAGATGTGCTCTTCCAGGAAACTTTTCTATTGAATCCTGGCTGGAGTTTTAAAAGCTCCCCTCCCCTAGGGGCAAATCCCCATCCCCACAGCTGTCTCCATGTGGGGGGAGCTGGAGCAGAAATAAATCTACCCCGATAAGTATTAACAAAACAGTGTATATACACACACAGAGAGTTTTATTAGGAATCATTAGGGAAATACATACTGTGTATATCTATATACACAGTATTTTCAAACTTGGGTGCTTAAAGCTAGGCTCCTAAATCCACAGTTAGGCCCCTATATAAAAGTGGTTTAATTTTCAAGCAGCTGCAGCTCTTAACAACTTCTCTGGAAACTGAGGTTGTTCAACACCTTGGAAAAATCAGCTCAAAGCTTCTATTTAAGTGCCTAATTATGGATTTAGGAGCATAACTTGAAGCACCCAACTTCAAAAATGCTACATGTATCAGGGTGATATGGAAGGCGTATGTATAAAACCAAGAAAAAAAATTGAATTCAAAAGTTATGAAATACATTTCATTTTTTTTAATTCCTGCACAACTGGATTTCACTATTGAGAGAATCAGAGATGCATATTGTTCATGTAGTTAATAGTTTTGAAGGTTTTCTGCTTTTTCTCTGAAACACTAAGTACCATATGATGGGAAGGTTAATTGTGCTCTCTGACATGAAAGAATATCAGCTTCCTCCCAATGATGCTTCACATTTCCATTAAAAATCTTTTACCAAGAGACAGACTGCTGATGGCATACGAACCTCCCAGTCTGACTTGCTCCTACTGTGCTTTTGTATCATTGCTTCCTTTTTGGGGTCCAATTGCCAAACAATGTCATTATGCTACAGGGTGCTTGGAAAGAATGGAGTACTTTTTTGTATGGCAAGCTCCTGTAGCTATTTTTTCTAATACATATGTAATTCCTACTCCTTAATGGGCCTATACACTGAAAAATAGATGGCTGTGTGTGACAGTCTGGAATGGGGCATGAGCATTCTGTAAGAGCAGAGATAAATAATTGTACCATTTCTATGTACAGCTCTTTTATACAGTTAGGAAGAGAGAGAGGAGGAGGAGGAAGGGGAAGGGAGTAGAGCAATAGTGGAAGGAAAAAGAAAGGGAAAGGGAAAATGCAGGGGAGAGGAAAGCAGAGGTGAGGAAGCAAGAGAAAGGTGGAAAGAAGACAGAGCATGGGTAGGGGGGAAAAGAACAAAGTGGAAGGAGTGAGTAGCTCAGAAGCAATGTAACATGCTACTATACAGAAGACATAGGCTGAACCTCGGTAAAGTCCCTCTCACTTTGCAGGCTGATGGCATAAGGAAACTCGATAGAAGTGATCTGTTCGGGCTCTCTGAAGACCCTGTTTGGCAGGTTATTCTGATATTTTTATGAATCTCTGAGATCCCCGAAATGGGAGGAGCACTCCATAGCCAGTTCATTGCAGTTCATCTGCATGTCAGTTCATATTTTTTATAATTGCGGTGTCCAGACCGCGGGGCTTCTGTTGTGCTCTTCCGTTTCCTCAGCTCCACTGAAGCATTGTTATTCAGGGCTGATGTCCTCCATGGAGCAGCAGGGTGGAGACACCCTGAAGCTGGAGAAGGGAGGAGGATTCCCCCCTTCCCTACCCCACAAACCAGTCCAGCCATTTGGGCTGGGTACTGGCAGGAAGGTTATAGAGCAACTTCAAGCTGAGACAAGCTTCCTGCAGAATCCATTGGCTCAGTTGGGGAAGGCTTAGTTTTGGGCCAACCTGGTAAAGCTGGGGTCCCAGTCTGAGTCTCAGCTGCAGTAAAGTGTCAGGAATGGTGAGTCCTGTCACATGGGAGCAGTGGCGCTCAAACACATGCTTGGGTTGGAGGAGAGAGAGAAGTGACAGTCCTGCTAACTAATGATAAAATTTCAGAGTAGCAGCCGTGTTAGTCTGTATCCGTAAAAAGAACAGGAGTACTTGTGGCACCTTAGAGACTAACAAATTTATTTGAGCATAAGCTTTCGTGGGCTACAGCCCACTTCATCAGATGCATGCAGTGGAAAATACAGTAGGAAGATATATATATATACGCACAGAGAACATGAAACAATGGGTGTTACCATACACACTATAAGGAGAGTGATCAGTTAAGGTGAGCTTTTATCAGCAGGAGAGAAAAAGAACTGTTTGTAGTGGTAATGAAAATGGCCCATTTCCAGCAATTGACAAGGAGATATGAGGAACTGTAGGGGAGGGGTGGGGGAATGAGCATGGGGAAATAGTTTTACTTTGTGTAATGGCCCATCCACTCCCAGTCTTTATTCAAGCCTAATTTAATGGTGTCTAGTTTGCAAATTAATTCCAATTCAGCAGTCTCTTGTTGGAGTCTGTTTTTGAAGTTTTTTTGTTGTAATATTGAGACTTTTAGGTCTGTAATCAAGTGGCCAGGGAGATTGAAGTGTTCTCCAACTGGTTTTTGAATTTATAATTCTTGACGTCTGATTTGTGTCCATTTATTCTTTTGCGTAGAGACTGTCCGATTTGGCCAATGTACATGGCAGAAGGGCATTGCTGGCACAAGATGGCATATATCATATTGGTAGATGTGCAGGTGAACGAGCCTCTGATAGTGTGGCTGATGTGATTAGGTCCTGTGATGGTATTCCCTGAATAGATATGTGGACAGTAATGTTGACAACAGTTTAAGTGCATCAGAAGGCAGGAGGTTGATCACAGAGGGCCTTGCACATCCAAAATAAAGTAAATGTGAAACTCCAAGCGCTCCTTCTGAACTGAACTGGATTATTCTGTCCCCCATTCAGCATGTAGGAATCAGACACCGCCCACAGGGCCAGGGAAAATTTTCATGGCACAGACACAAGTAGGTTTGCCAGGTGTCCTGTTTTCAACCGGAACACCCAGTGGAAAAGGGACCCTAGTGGGTCCGGTCAGCACCACTGACCAGGCCGTTAAAAGCCTGGTCAGCAGCGCAGTTGGGCTAAGGCAGGCTCCCTGCCTGCTGTGGCTCTGCGAGTTCCTGGAAGCAGCGGCATGTCCCCCCTCCAGCTCCTACGCTGCCCCTGCCCCAAATGCTGGCTCTGCAGCTCCCATTGGCCTGGCCGTGCCTCTGTGTAGGAGCTGGACGGGGGACATGCTGCTGCTTCCGGGAGCTGCTTGAGGTAAGTGCTGGCCAGAGCCTGCACCCCTGACCCCCTCCCATACCCCAACCCCCTGCCCTAGCTTGGAACCCCCTTCTGCACCCAAACTCCCTCCCGGAGCCTGCACCCCATGCCCCCTCCCGCCTGCCCTAGTTCTGGTCCCACTCCAGCCCTCCAAACCCCTCAATCCGAGCCCAGACACCCTCTCACACCCTAAAGCCCTCATCCCCAGCCCCACCCTACAGTCTGCATGCCCAAGCCGGCACATTCATACACCCCCACACCCCAGCTCCCTGCCCAAGCCCTGATCCCTTTCCTACCCACCGAACCCCTCATCCCCAGCCCGGAGCCCCCTCCTGCACCCCAAATACCTCATCCTTGGCCCCATACCAGAGCCCATACCCCAGGCCCATACCCACACCCCAACCCCTTGCCTCAGCCCGAAGCCCCTTCCTGCACTCTGAATCCCTCATTTATGGCCCCATCCCGGAGCCCGCACCCTCAGCTGGAGCCCTCACCACCTCCTGCACCCCAACTCCCTGAGCCAGTCTGGTGAAAATGAGCAAGTGAGTGAGGTTGGGGTGAGCAAGCAATAGAGGGAGGGGGGATGGAGTGAGTGGGGAACGTGGCCTCAGAGAAGGGGCGTGACAGGGGCAAGGCCTCAGAGATGGGGCAGGGCAGGGGGCGGGACAAGGGTATTCAGTTTTGTGCGAGTAGAAAGTTGGCAACCCTAACCAGTAGGCTGCTGTAGGCAGCTGTATGCTGTCCCCATGCCAGCCCAGACATAGGGGTGTGTGTTAAGGTAGAAGAAGACAGAGCTGTGACGCTTGCTTCTATAGACATTCTGGCTTCCGTCACAAGCCATAGGCAGGCCCGGGGAGGCTGTCATAACTTAGAGCTAGAGCTGTGCAAATAATGGATTTTTCAGTTCACCAGCAACTCTGAAAACTCAGGAAAAAAACATGTGTTTTGTGTCAACCCAAAACACTACATTTTGTGAAATTTTCAGCAAATCAAAAAGTCAAAAATATTTTTGCTTGAATAAAACATTTCATTTGATGAAAAATGAAACTTTTCATTTAGATTCCGAGCATTGAACATTTTTGAATTTTTTAAAATAAATATGAGGATATTTCGAAATGAAAACTGGTTAAAACTGAAAAATGGAAATGCTTTCATTAGAAAGTGTCAAAATGAAACATCTAACTTTGTTAGAGGTTTTCTTTTTTCTACACACACAATTCAGCGAAACCAACAGGCATTCGCGAAATGTTTCAGTGTTGCTGAATTTGCATTTTTTGCCAAAAAATGTTTAGGATGAAAAATTTCAACCAGCTCTAGTAGAGCAGCTCCAGGGCTGCACCAGGAGACGTTTTGAGCTCTGGAGATGCATTGAATTTGGTGAGTGCAAAGACGGCTTAGAGATGCCTTTGCA